CGGAATGTATTTGAATGAAAAAGATCATAATTCTTTAAAATTCTGTTGCCATACGACCTTATTCAGTATCAAAACATCCCAAAAGTTGATAGTCAAACATGATCGCATATACGTAGTCGTGCCATAAGTTCTGTCCCATGATAATCTCATGATAAAAATGAAACAAGATAAGATATATTTATATGAAAGATATTATTTATTCGACAACATTTTTAGAATTCATAATCAAACAGTTTTATTCAAAATGTCCCCCCTTGGCCTTCACACACTGCTTCAATCTCGCGGGCCACTCATCTATCACTGCACGCACAGCTTCCAAAGGAATAGCTGCCGCTGATCGGATCAAATCCGCTTTCAGGGACTCGATATTACGGTGGGCTTTGGAGCAGGCCAACTGCTCTAGCAGGTCCCACAACTTGTAGTCTAAAGGATTGAGGTCCGGACTCCCTGAGGGCCAATCTTCCGCAGCAATGAACTCTGGCACATTGCTTTCCAGCCAGCGCTGCGTACTCTTAGCCTTGTGAGCGGGGGCGGAATCCTGCTGGTAGACCCAGTGTTGGTTGGCAAACAATGTACCACTTAAAGGCTTGACGATAGGATCCAGTATGTCGCTCTGATAGTTTGCCGCTTTTGTTTTCACGCCCTGTTTACAGAAATGGAGCTGAGTGACCCCTTCGTAGGACACCCCCCACCAAACCATGACTGACGCAGGGTGGTGGCCTCTCTCAACTCTCGGAATGATCTCCGAAGCTTCCTGTGAACTCCTTGCATACACTTTGTCATTTTGTCGGTTGAATTTTTCTTCTATGGTGAAGATTTTCTCATCCGTGAACAAAATCTTTCGGAATCCCCCAGCTGCGTACCTCTCCAAGAGCTTCTTGGATCTTGTCGCCCTGATGTGTCGCAAGGTGGCCGTAAGTAGCTGGCCCGTACGTCTCCGGTAAGCCCCTAGCCCTAGGTCTTGTTTAATGATGCGCGACATCGTCCGGACAGGAATCTTCATTTCCCTGGATAGGATCTTCTGCTTCCGGAGTGGATTCCTTTGAATCCTGGCTTTTACGGCTTTGATGGCTGCTGGAGTCCTTACTTGACGAGGTCTTCCGCTTCTTGGCCTGTCATCAACAGAGGACGTCTCATTGTACCGCTGAATGGTCCTAGACACAAATTTACGCGATATTTGAAGGCCGCGTAAGAGTTCAAAAATCTGACTAGCACTGTGATTACACTTATGTAAAGCTATCACTGCAATACGGTTCTCTGCCTTGCCCCACTCCATCGTTATGCTTCGAGAGATCAATACAAACTGAGGTATATGTAATTACCCGAAAAGCGCTTAATCAACTGACACCACAATGTAAACAATCGGACAAGTATTAACAGGTCTACACTTGTTTGAAAACGAGGGACAGAACTTATGGCATGACTACGTAAATATAGCAACTCTCTATTGTGCTAATCGGTGAACTTCACTGTCGGACAACTTAGTAAGCACACGAGGCCGCAGTTCGTACTGCAATTAGACAATAAATCGTAAACGAACGATTAAAAGCATTTTGACAAAAAAAATTAAACTACCAAAGCCATACCATTTCATCGAGTCATTTTATCGACGCCCATTCTAAAAATTTCGCATCTGCTCTCATCCTTTTCCTAATTTTTTTGTCTTTTCTTTTTCTTTCTTTAACACTGTCTGGTTCCTGGGTTAACCAAACCTGGCGGACATACAAAGGGTACTATACAAGTTTTGCAATACATCTTTATTTATTGACTTCGTTCAAAGTAATTTCCACCACATTCTATACACTTCTCCATCCGTCAAAACCGTTTTCCTTTTAGCTTCATTTTCACATACGGAAACAGAGCAAAGTCGCAGGGAGCATGATCTGGACTGTAAGGAGGGCGGTCAATAAGTTTCAGTCCAGTAGCATTGGTCGGCACATCGTAATAATACAGCCAAGTCTCGTCACATGTCACGATGCTGTTCGCATACCGAGATTGCCACTTATCAAACATTTTCAGCATCTTTCGGCACCAAGTCGTACGACGAATCTTCTGCTCTTCCGTCAGACTATGCGGTACCCAGAGAGAGCAAAGTTTTCTTACGGTCATGTAGAATTGAATGAATTGCTGGTGCATGAGGGTGTAAGGTCTCATCTATCTGTTGGTATTTCGCTCTCTGGTCGTCAAGCATTTTCCTCACAGCAGTAACGATTTCCTCTTTTACGACGTTCGCGGCCTTCATTCCCTCTCAGCCTCCTCCAGAGTGAAATTGCCACTTTGCAATTCTCTGTACCACCTAAATATAGTCCTACGAATCATTCTGTAATGCAAGCGTCATTTCTTGTCTATGCTTGAACCACGCGTTAGTTATACAGTAAAACTGCCCTTATCTCACTACGTGACTACGATGCCATAGTTCGCGCTTTACAATACGAATGAACAACTAAATCAACATACGTGCTGCTGGCGGCTACTATGCACTCATGGACATGTCTCAACATTCAGTAACAGGCAGCCTCCTGCGGCCGTTTGTTAAATCATATTGCAAAACGTTCATAGTACCCTTTGTACAAATACAATGATAAGCATTTTTTTCTGTAAAAATCTGGAAAGCCAACCAGTAATGTGAGCTACTAAGATATGGTAATTCATCTGAGACGATGCGTTATTTCGGTGAGATGTAATTTTTTGGACGAATCTACATACACTGAGAACAAAATTTATCTGACGGCTTGAGTTCAATGTGTACGAGAGAGAAGTGTATATAGACACATACATATGTGTGTATATAGAAGCCGGCTGGATAGCGAAGCTCATTCTCTCGTTGCCTAGCAACGCTCACGCGGAAATCTGCCGTGTTGCCAATATGTTACACCATCAGTCCCTTAAATTAAGATGCATGAAAGTATGCGTTAGCTTATTTGCTACGCCCAAATAATGTTTTTTTTGAATTGTGTCGAATCAGTTTCAGATCGATTATGGATCGGTCCTAATGGCTCTAAATTTTAGTTTGAAATGAAAGGTCAGGATCACCACAAATTCTGCAACATTGGTTCGCTTGGCAACACCGCATCTGGAACATTCCTCCATGATCATAGATGGGCGATTTTGATCAGTACCCATCTAGCGCTCATTGGGGAGTGTCGTCCTGCTTCGAAATGGTTTTCACCTGCGTACACGCAGGCAGTGATAATCTGCATTGCGTTATAGTAAGGTACTTGACTCAAATAATGCCATGTCCGTAATAACGCCAGAAGCCATCATTCTGAAATCTACTAATGCAATTCAAAAACTATGTGATATAGTTTGATAGATTTCTATCCCGGAAAGCAATGGAACATAAAAAACTGCTTCCTGAATGCAACAATTGTCGCCACATGCATTGCCATCATTTACCAACAACAACATTATTGGCGGTAAAGTTTTTGTTGCAAGAATTTTGTTGTTTAATCGTTGTGTTAATTAAATTTGCTGATATCCACGTCATTTTTGAGAAGTTTATTTTGGATCTAGTTTATAGTTTGAATCAAAACGTAAACTGTTTTTGTAAAATCGGCAATATAAATTTTAGGTTAAGTGCGCCTAATAACGCCAGCCGAGAATCCTCCGATAGCCATAAATTAAAAAAAAGAAAAGTGAGATCCAAGGTGTTATGGAAACCAGTGAAATTTACCAAAAGAATGGAAGTGAAATAGATTTTTTAAATTTGCTCAGTTCAAAACAAGCTGATTACATTGAAAATAATCTCGATAGAAAGGAAAATGAGTCACAAAACATTAAGGAAGGTATAAAGATGAATCCGGAAAAAGCGAATAAAATTCATGAAAAAAACAAGAGAATATTTGGTACGGAAAATTAAAATACCGCAGTAAACGTTAAAATAAAACAGAAAAACCAAAAGTCGACGTAAGCAATGATAACAGTAAAAGTAAACACCAAAAAGGGATACAAAATTATAATGAGAATGATAAAAATAACCAAAACTTGATTGAGTTTTTTACAACTCCTGATGTTAAGGCAACGACAAGTGTGGAAAGGCGCAAAGCAATTAACTCAAGGGCACACGTTGTTGTCAGAGATTTATTGTTCTCTACATCTACTGAAAAAATCAATTCGAAGAAAAAAATAAAAGTTTCAGTCCAAGAGAAGTCGGTATTGCTTTATTTGTCAAGAAGATAGGATTTGTGATAAGCGTCAGTGTCGTTTGTAACCGTTACATTCACGAATAGTGTGTAGGTTTATCGAAAAATGATAAAATTTCATTTGTTTGTATTGATTGTGAGACTCAATACACTTTAAATAAAAACTTATGTTAATACTCCTCATTTTCTATTTTTACGTAATTAATTTTATATTTTTTTTATATAAAATCACAGTTGGCGTTATTTGGGACAAGGTGTTCCTAAAAGCGCCAATTGCAATGTAAATCAAAAAATGAAAATTTGTCTGCTTGAATTGTTATAAGAAAATATGGTACTATATTTTTTATTCTAATATATGTAGAGATAATAATTACCAAGATTCATAAAATTTTAAGAGGTTATTTATGAAGCCATGCAAAATCAAACTTTAATATGGCGTTATTTGGGTGAAGTACCTTATTTGTTACATTTTCCGACCTCTAGCTGTCGCAAATTGTGGCAATGACTTAGGATGTGTTGATTTTATCAGCATCGATGGAAATCAAAGATTATTCTAAAATAAATCAAAACGATAAGTCGCATCAAAAATGGAATAAACAATTCTATTCAAAATGAAAACAAAATATTAAATTAAATGTTCGAACAGACTTCCTTCCTGGGTTTGACACTAACCTAACCTGTTGCAGAAGTGTGTGCGAACATTTTCTGGTGTAACATATTGTTGGAAACGCGGCAGATTGCACGACCTTCTGCGTCACCGTTGCTAGGCAATGTGATGACGACGTTCGCTCTTCAGCCGGCTTCTATTTCTTTCTAACATGTGTTTATGTTATCACTTCTCGCGCTTAAATTTAAGCCGTCAAACTTGGTTTTCCCTGTATATGAATTTGCTCAGGTCTCTGGGGAGATAAATGTGTAAATACTATACCATAACTCCTATTGAAAAATAAATATAATTATAATAAAACATTTACATTTTTCCTATACATTATTATATAACAGTTTATATTCTAATTTCACGTAAATACTTTACATGAGACCTTACGGCTATGTTTTCCGAGTATTCTGTCTTTTACCATCAATATCAATACTGTTATCGACTTTCTCAAATACAACAATTTTACAATCCGCATAAAAGCAAACGCAACAAAGTCGGATATGCAAGTACAGGAAGTTTATAAATTATTCATTATGCTCATTAACTGCATACTTGTCTATTGAAGTATGTATAATTTATGCATAAGACCACGTCGACTGTAATATAGATTTCTTTATAGCCAACAGGCAAATTCGATGTACCCATACCGCAAATCGAAACTTCGCGAGACCAAATTTCAATGTCGCACCGTACTGAAGCTCAAAAAGGTAGTCTCCCCAAGAAATAAAAGGTTAACTGTCCAAATCAAACAAATTTTTTTGACATTCTTAGGTCTTGCAAAAGGAATCACGTTGCACTGAAATTTTGTGACGCAAACTGTTGATTACTAGTTTCGGGAAATGGTCTCATATATTGACGGATGAAATTCAGCATTCTACTCATACAACTCTGGAGAGTATTGCGACAATACGTAAATGTCGGGTACTTCTTTGTTGTTGACAATGCATGCAACTATTTTCATTATTAAAGTCAATACAGATTTACGAATACAATCGCTACCCCGTTGCGGTCTGATGTCTCCTGGGATGACTACCACTTCACAGTCAATTTACTTGGCTCCTGATTGTATTCTGACGTTTCTATAACAATTACTGGTTACCGCTGATTCAGGTTTTTCATCATCATTTTTCAATGACATGATAGCCAACAAAATAGCTCAGCTGATCGGGTAGGTATATATTTGCGATGTGGGACTTTCTATCAAGGACAGCAAAGGTTGTTTTACCGAATCCATCGAATATTTAGGCGTTTTGGTTGCTGATTCATTAAGCGCTAACAATGCTATTATAATTCATTTTCAGCTTGGGGTAATACTCGTATAAGTATAGTTAAAAAATGATGAAAACCTGATGTTTTGCAATGTATTTGTATATCATAAAAATGCTCGTTGGTTTCCTGGAAAGAGCATATCGACCAGGAAAACAACCAGTTATAAACAGTATGTTACAATAAGGCTTGAACAGCTGGTGCATCACAGGATATGTAAGTGGCAGGACCAGCTTATTGTTACCTAGTAAGGGATGCATCAATCAATGGTTTTACAGTTTTGATTTGAGTGACTTGGCAAGTTTGGAATAGAGATTCAAGTTACAGGTCGAAGCTCTTCTTTAGGAAGACAGCATCAAGCCAGTGTTGTCATTTATTCTACCCATAATGACATACTGACCGGTTGTGTAGTACTGGTGATAAAATACTGTAATATTTGACGGGTCATTTTATATCAATTAGTACTAATTCAATATATCAATAATATGCAATGGACGATTGCATAATGAAACGATAAACGTGACCGCAAAGTGCTAATTACAAGTCTGCATCCTGCACTGACCTCGCTAGTGGTATTTGGAGATGTATTGCAGACAAAACTCTGAGCATTTACTCCCCTGTACTCATTTACTATCTTATAAAATTTGCATCTAATTCTAATGCTCCTCTTTCAAGATTTTGGACTTGGATGCTGAAGATGTCTTAGAGACCAGATTAGGAAGAATGTCTGCCAAATTTGCATACGTCAACATATGATTGTCATTTCATGGTATATAGAATCCTGAACTATAACTGCATACATACTTAGGTAATTATTTGGAAAACAATCTAAGTAACGTCATCATCATTTGACTAGTATAGGGACAGAATCTGTATAATTTCATACATCTACCAGGTTTTTTGAGCTCTTCACCATTTTGCAACGCCTCTTTCAATTGTCTGCTGGCCCAAGAGTCCGTCTTGACAGAGTATCTGCAACACAAAACATATACACTGTTCTGCAACAAATATCTTTATGAGTGCACGCATTGTTTACTCACTATATGATATCGGTATGCTTGGCAAATGATATACAGATTGTGATCCCTCGAAATGTCCAACAGTGCTTGTTTTAAAAATATTCATTTTAATCCATCGGATCCATGCAAACAAACTTCTCTTCTTGAAATGACCTGAAGAATCCCCCATAGCAGATCATTGAGGATCATCCCCTATATACATAATTTTCTTCTGTCGTTCTTTCGTTTGTATAAGCATAATCGAAAAGGAAATATATTTCTGAATAATTCATTTATCTTTATATTGATCGAAAAGAAAGAACAAGATGAATAAATGATGGTTAACTTTTTTGCCATTCCTCCTTTATGCATAATTTAAATGTCGCCGACGTCGGCGTAATACTTAGATTGCTACAAATTATCTATTCCATTTGAAAATTTAATCGATCATTTGCATGAGACGACCTTGATTAATGATCTATTTGGGGACTCGAAGAACGAAAGAAAAACCTGACCTTCCATATCGATGTGTCTATCATTTATGCTGCATCACCGAGGTTGGAATTTCTGAAGTCGCTATTTACAGGTGTTATGTTGATCTATAGAGACTTATCGATCACCACATGATAGCTAAATTATTCCCAGATCTTTCGTTTGTCTAGTCACTGAATATTTGTTTCGACTTTCAATATGTTTCAGACGTGTCAGTTTAATGTTTACCTTACTAGATCGAGCATCTTCTTTTCATCCCTCGTCAATGATTCCTTATGCGTTGCTGCTAATTGGCACATAAAACTCCTGGCACAACTTACTGGATCTCTTTGCAGTACTTTATTCCAGTCTATCTGCAATAAAGATTGAAAACATTTCATATCTTTTCAACATAATATCAAATTATCTAATGTTATTATGCTAAGTTACAAAGACATTCGGATGGAATTATGCAGAACACCCAAAAGGTCTACAATGAATTTATACATTTTTTACTAATACACTTTTAACACAAGTTACAAGAAAACACTAAATTCGTTTGCTTTAGACAAAGTAGAGCCGCTTGAAGTATATACAGGGTTTGTCCGGAAAGTAATAGGACTCATTTTCTTCCGCCATGACTGTACTTCGGAGCGTGCGCGCACCGACTGGATTCGGTAGAGGGCGTTCCTAGCTAACGAATGAGCGGCTGGTCAGTTGTCTCAGAGCACTTGGAGAGTCAGGACAGGCATTTTCGCGCGACGTGTTTCTGTGAGTGGTGCAAGCCGAAAATGCAGCGTTCGTTAGAGCAGAGGTACGCGATTAAATTCTATGTGAAACTCGGTAAACCTGAGACAGAGACATTTGATATGATCAGGCAGGCTTACCCAGGTGTTGCTATAGCAAGAAGTGGTGTGTTTCGGTGGCACCAGGCCTTTTTGGAGCGCCGGGAAGAGGTCGCTGATGAAGACCGTGCTGGAAGACCTTCGACTTTGACAAACACAGATAATGTGACTCGTGTGCGCAAAGTTTTGAACTTAGACCGTCGACTAAGTATTCGTTTAATTGCCCAGATGTTAAATTTACTAAAATCTGTGGTTCATGACATTGAACATTTGAACTGACGACTAGAAATTGCGGCGAGTGGAAGTGTACCAAGAAAATTTGAACATGTGTGAAAGTGACCCCCAATTTTTGAATAACGTAATCACAGGTGACGAGTCGTGGCTCTTTGAGTATGATCCCGAGACAAAGAGGCAATCTTCGGAGTGGCACACGACGGCGTCTCTTCGCCCAAAAAAGGGAAGAATGAGCAAATACAAAGTGAAAACGATGCTCATTCTCTTTTTTGACATCAAAGGCATCGTCCACCGTGAATTTATTCCTCCTGGACAAACCGTCAACGCCAAGTTTTTCGTGGAAGTGCTCAGGAGACTCAAACGAAGGGTCAGTCGGGTCCGACAAGACATCGCATCCGACTGGAAGTTGCACCACGACAACGCCCCGGCTCACACCTTTCTTGTGAACAGCTACCTGACCAAGGCCGGCATCCCAACGTTTCCGCAGCCGCCCTACAGCCCAGATGTGCCCCCCCGGACTTTTTTTTGTTTTTTCGCCTGAAAAGGCCGATGAAAGGCAAGCATTTTGAGACGACAGAGGGGATCCAAGCAGCATGCACCGCGGCTCTCAAGGCTATTCCGGAGAATGCCTTCCGTGACGCCTTCAAAGCTTGGAAATCGCGCTGGCAGTGCTGCATCGACGCAGAAGGAGTCTATTTTGAAAGTTTTTAAAGAATTGTAACGATTGGCTCAATAAATTCTTTTAAATCGACTCAGTCCTATTAGTTTCCGGACAAACCCTGTATTACAATTTAGTCCACAGAAAATGCAAAAGCACAGGATTGGTCGGAATTAAAATTAAGCATCTAAAAATTATAAGCGAAGATATAGCAGAACCTGTGACATACATAATTAATGTGTGCTTTGAAGAGTCTTTTTTTGTTCATGCCAACACTTTCGATTGAATCCCAATAAACACATTTTCTCATTCTTTGTTTTGAATAAAAAGTTTTCCTACAAACACTGTGTAGTAATGTGCCCATGTTTTAAATACCCGCTAATACATATAATAAGACTAATTGTGGGATTGTTTAAACTTAAGATGTGAATATTTCCAAAATCCTTGCTCACCTGTGCATGAGGCAATGGCGTAGCCCCGGGGTCATCTACTGACCTCTTGAAGACCTCCCTCTCCGCATTCTCGAGCCCGAGGTTGTTGTTATTGGTGTTTCTGTTTGCTTGGATTGCGGTGAAGTCCTGAGCTAAGGTATGAACCATCCACAGGCCTGCTAGGCCGAGGGCTGCCAAGATTACCACTCGGATGAAATGGTGCGCTTTTGCGTAGCCCAGTAATGCCGAGAACAGCAGTAATTTTAACCAACGGCTCATCTTAAAAATATCCATCATAGGTTGAACGAGCCAAAGCAAAATAATTGAAGGTAGACAAGAAACGTCATCGTTTTAACGCAGAATCAGCCCAAGTTCGTTTTTATAGGTAGAGAGTACCGTAAAATGCCATAATTTCGGATGGTAGCCTAACTTCGGACAAATCGTCATAAACTTTTTAAACCAATTGCGCCATTTTTGGACAATAACCTCAACAAAAAATTCGTGCGTTGTGTCGTTGTCTAAAGGTGGCAGAAATCTTTTTTGAATAAAGCGCGGCTCTAACAGTACTGTAGGGGCAACAGTGTTACGTTTTAAATGAGCGGTTAAGTTGCATTTGTTTTGTACTCTACTTTGATGGTAAGTAGTATGAAACTCATCATTTTTTGTTAAAAATGCATGATAATGTGATAGACATATGTTTTGTGAGCCTTATGTCAATATAATTTGCTTAAAACTATGGTGCTTCATAGTCTGGGAATCTTTACAAGAAAATACGGAATTTTGTGCCTAATTTCGGTTACAAGTGTCCGAACTTGCGATACTTTTTTTGAGGAGTAGACCATTTAATTCTGGTCGGTATTTTTATAATTTTCTCTGTTATCAGGTAGACCATGGCTCCAACAAGTCGAAGAAAATACGAACTATGAAGAGGCTGCCTTAGAAAAAGCGTTACTGAAGGTCGCAAATGGCATATTGAGCTTGAGAACTGCTGCAGAGCGATATAATATACCAAAATCAACACTGTCCGATAATTATCAGGGAAAGCACATTTCCAAAAATGGAAGACCACAAGTTTTATCAACTAACGATGAGAAGCATTTAGTTAATGGTATTTTAACCGCAGCCAATTGGGGTTATCCACTGACAGGCACCGATGTTAAACAAATTGTTAAAGGGTTCTTGGATCGGAAAGGTGTAGTTGAAAAACGATTCCGGAATAACGAGCCTGGTCGTAAATGGTTAAAATCTTTCATGGCTCGACATAAGCGGCTGATATCTTCTCGCCTGAGTGAAAATATAAAACGACAAAGGGCGGCTATCTTAAAGGAAATCATCGAATAATTCTTCAAAAATTTAAGTGAAACATTGCAAGGGGTTCCAGCGGAGAATATTATCAATTATGACGAGACCAACATGAGCGATGATCCTGGACAAGAAAAAGTCATTGTGCGACGCGGATCAAAACATGCAGAAAGAGTTATCGATTGTTCTAAGTTCAGCACGTCAGTGATGTTCGCAGTATCGGCCAGCGGATCCGGACTTCCTGCATACATCGCCTACAAAGCCACAAACCTTCACGACACCTGGACAAAAAATGTACCGCCAGGAACTTTATATAATAGAAGCGCAAGTGGCTGGTTCGATTCTTTTATATTCAGTGACTGGTTTGACAAGGTTCCGCTACCCTACTTCAGAAAAAAGGATGGAATTAAAATAATAATAGGTGATAATCTAGCTTCCCACATATCTCTGGACGTCATAACAAAATGCAAAGGAAATAATATCAAGTTTGTACTGCTTCCAGCGAACTCGACCCACCTGTGCCAACCACTGGACGTTTCATACTTTCGTCAGCTAAAAAGAGCTTGGAGAAATACTCTTCTGGAAAAAAACGCCACCGCGGAACAGTTCCAAAAGATTATTTCCCATTGCTGCTTAAAAAGGCGCTGGATGCTATTAGTCAGTCAGAAGAGAAAAATATTAAATATGATTTCCGTGCATGTGGTATATTTCCTTTAGACTCTAGTCAAGTTCTTAAGCGACTACCCATAACTTCTGAACATCAGACCGCAGAAAATTCTTCAAAATGGTGTGAAACCTTTACTGAACATCTAAAAAATGCCAGACTTACCGATACCGCACCTAAACGGTTTAAAAGAAAGAAGCTGAACGTTCCAGCTGGCAAGGTTATAACTGCCATGGAAAATAAGGACGAAGAACTAAATAAGGACGGAAGTACACATCAAGAAAATGTGAACGAAGATGTACTCGATTTGAAAGAAAGTGACAACCATCTGGAAAACGACTTGAATTTAGTACGCGATGAAGAAGATGATGACAGTGAGTGGGACGTTCCTTTATCTACACTACAGCATCAAAAAAATGGCGATGCTGATGCTGATGAAAACGGTAAATTTGTAGTTTGCACTTTTATGTATAACAAACATTCAAAACACCAATTAGAGAAGAAGTTCGTCGCCAAAATTCTCAATTCTGATGGGTCCAAGTTACAGATAAGTTGTCTGCGACGAAAGGACTCTGAGTCTTTTGTATACTCACTTGTCGAGGACCTTAACGGCGTGATTCAGGAGGACATTTGCGCTGTTCTTGGGACACCGACAGAACGGAGAGGAATTTTTAGATTTTCGGAAGATTTGACAGGAGTATTGTAGATTTTTTAAAGTTCTTGATGTGTTTTTTCTATAACATTTTCTACCTATTTGTTTATGTAGTTTGTAGCTAGTTCCTTGGAATGAATTACTTTTTCAGTTATATTATGTGCATTTTTTAAGAAAAACAAAATTTTGAATGATCCATTCTAAAATAAATTGAAAACCGTATGTCCTAAGTTGGGACAACAATTAATATATTTTTTTAGGTTGTGCACAGTGTTTCCTAAGTGTCCAAATCGAGTCTTTTATTCAATTTCGCAGTAAAACGTCCCTGTCCGAAATTAGGGAAAATATATCATAACTTTCATTTTTTTTTTATTCATACCTCACTGACATATTTATAGGTAGGTTATATACTTTGACTGATTCCATAGCACTGGTAATGTTTCTATAGCCATAATAGTAATATTCACATTAGAACATTCAATATTGAGAAAATATTCCAAATTTTGTCCGAAGATACTGGCTTTTACGGTACTATCTCCGCGAACATTTTAGGATTTTAAATACGTAATTCCATTTTGCATTTTCGTCGATCTGTCTGTGACTTGGCGGAAACAAGTGCATCGAACTAGACTCTTGGGAAGCAGCATGAGCACGTAATATTTCTTCCCTGGTTACTTCACCTTTGAAAACGTTTTAGAAGGGCATATCAAAAAACAACAGCTTCAGATCGTTTTCGTCGTTTGTTTCTGTAAGCTTTATAATTTTTTGGTGTGAACAATTTTCTTTGAAAAGTTATAATTTTCTGATATTTGCTTACGTCTTTTCCGATTACTTCAAGTTGGAAAATATTGATCTTTAGTAAGGCTTATTTTTAACTTACATATGGAAATAATGATCCTCAAGCAGCATGTATGTGTATGTATAATTTGAAAGCGTGAGAATTTGCAGCATTGCCAATATGTTACACCAGCTCCTTGAATTAAGATGCATGTTGGAAATATGCATTAGTTAATTCTCTACGCCCAAATAATGGTTTTATTTTGAGCGTACACACTTTTGAATTGTGAATTTTGTGAGTTCGTTATGTTATTTTAGACCGATCTCGAAGGTGTCTGAGAAATATGTCTCTACAACTCATCAGCTTCTTTGGCAGATTCAAATTATTTAATACTAGTCAATTTGTACTCAGAATAGGCATGTCCACCAAAACTGATGATGATGATTTGTATTTTAAGATGGTTAAATATAAAAATGTATGGGTATATTTCTTGATTTGAGCAAAGCTTTTGACTTGGTTGACTGTGCTATACTTCTAGATAAAATGGATGGTTATGGAATCAGAGGAAAAACCGTTTGACTGCTTCCTTAACTGTCTGCACATCATATTGAGGTACAGAATGCACAGTCCGGCCAACATTTCTACCATACTGGTGTTCCACAGGGTTCCATACAATGACTTCCCCTCTGATTGCTCAGCAATGTAGGTATGCTGACGATACTTCCTTTCTTATTAAAGGAAAAACTTGGAATCTCGGGTATGGCTTACCAATTCAAGCACCAACTGGTGCAGGTCAGTGGTTCAGCAACAATTTAAACAATAAAAAAAACTGTTTTCCTTAGATTTAATCTTTCCAACACATCGATGGTACACAAATTGTTAACAAAATCATTTGATAAATCCATAGAACAGAATTTGATATGACAAACTCTGCTACTGCTACTGTTGCAGTTGTGATGTAGAGGGTCAAAAATAGGGAGCACGCTACTATCACGTAGCCATACGATCTATCAGGATGTAGCGCTTCAGAATTTATAGTTTGGTGAATAGTCTAAAAACTTGGGTGATATTGTGAATAAATACGCATTTTTTCTTGCACACGTCGGATCCCCTGTAAGCTGGGGGCCCCGTATAATTGATACGGCTGATACGGTGGTTGGTACACCCCTCATTATACGAGTATTTTGGAACAAATTACTATTTACTGCTTCGCGAGACATCGATAATTTCCAGGTCTTTAGCCTAGAGAAGCGCTTTGGCACTCTGAATGCTTGCATCATATAAAGTGCTATCATCCGCAAAGCTGTGTTATTTAACGTATAACATGTAAACCTACTAGAGAACCATGAAAAAAGGCGTGCCCATTTTCTTCATCTGAATACTGAATTTAGTTTCCGTGTTCATTGCATTGCACATTATACTCGTGGGGAATAACTTTAAAAGCATTTATCTGTTAGACAATTACTATTTCCTATGGGAAATGCAGATAGAGTCGTTGACCCGCTGTTATAGATATGCACCTATCTAATCGATACGTTGTTTCCTCTCCATCAATAACTGTTCTGGTATTTATGCAGAAAAGAACTAAGAATTAATAACGAGATATTGAGTAGATATTCTGATGATAATAGATCAAGACGACTAGACAAAAAAGGAAATTGTATCACAGTAAACATTTAATAGACGTATTTTATATCTTGAGGGTAAATGGAAATGTCCGATACAATGTATGTATGTATGTAACTTTTGTATCAAATGTCAAAGTTGAAAAGACACTTTGTGGATCACTTTTTCGCGTATATCCAAAATAAAATATTGGTAAGTTGTCTACGGAAGAGTTATAGGGGATCTAAAAACTTTATATTTACTGCAATGTCCAATTACATGGTAATAAAGTCACATCAAGATATTCTTATGATCAAGAAGATAATCAGTTTTTACTTTTCTAAGTATTAATTGTGCATCAAATTGAAAAAATCAAGTTATCAAATTTGCGTAGAAATGTTTGGGGATCTCAACACTAGGCAAAATAGGCAGATGAAATTCCGTTCGAAGGCCATTGTGGAAATTAAAAAAAATATAATTTATTAAAAAGTGCCTTTTGGCATCTATGTCAAATTTCATTAAATATCTAAGTGGTATAACATACTTTAATAATAGTGATTTATTTTTGAATACTTATCACCCACCATCCTCAAAAGTTAGGAAATTATATTCATATGAAGTTTTCTTCTTAAAATGGACCAAGAAATCGACCCCTTAAATATTGATATACCATTCTTTCATGATAAGCCAGTCTGTGGGCCTTTCCAGTTACTCTCAAGAATACAATTCCATTTTTAAATCCGGCTATATTTTCTATTCTAACTATAATTTTTTCAGAAATTCTAGATCTCCTGGTCCTGGTCTAATAACTGGTCTGGCATACTCTTAGAAACGAAATCAAAGAATTTAATAACGCAAGACTGATTATCGTGATAAGTATTCTACTGCATCTCGGATCTCGATTGCATAACAGAGTAATGATCAGATATTCGGCGTACGCCTAGTAGCGGCTAATTAAATTTTTTGCATATCCTACCTCCTGGTGATATCATATATCAAAGTAGATCCATTCGATAATATTTTACACTATCCGACAAAAGTACCGACGCAGAAAATGAAGTCAAGAAATTATTACATTATTATACAAGTCCACTTTAATACAAATTGATCATGCACTCTCGATATCGTACGAAAAATGGCGTCAAGTAGATTGACTCTATACTTCCTACGCCTTCGTTGGTGGTTTCAAAGAAAAGTGATTTACGGAAAATATCTGTGACTAATTATGTCTTACAGGTGCATAGTATCACTGAGATCAGCAGCTTCTTAATAATAGAAGGTACTTTACTGACACCTAATATGCAACAATTTACAACTATTTATCGCATACCTACAGCTTCTAACCTATAATTTTCATCCCCTCCAAACAATGTTTGAAAATGAGCAGGAATTTCTGAAACGTAAAAGCGATTTTATTGCCACCGCCTCTGAATCAATCAAAC